AGTGGAAGAGGAGGAGGAGGAGGGACAGAGAAGTGAAGGCAGGGGAGGAGGAGGGAAAAAATAGGAGGAGGAAGAAGGACCAGGATAGCTCTCTCAAATCGCCTTCAGATGAAACGAAAAGCAGCGTTAGAGACACTCCAGCGGGACTCAGGGGCCACGGGACGGACCGAAAGTACACCGTCGGCCTCGAACTGGCCATGCCCGAGGCCTATCCCTTCGTCCTGAAGCTCTCGAAGCTCTCTGCTACTGGACATGTCGCTGGAGCCTAGAGATGGCCCAGAGCCGGAAAGGAAAGGCCACGGGACGGGGAGGCCAGGCCGACCGGGGGGGGCCAGGCCCGGAGGGCAGCGCCAGACCGGGGAGGCCGACCAGGGGCCGGGCCGACCGGGGAGGGCCAGGCCGACGGGGAGGGCCAGGCGACGGGGGAGGGCCAGGCCGACGGGGAGGCGCCAGGCGACGGGGGGCCAGGCCGACGGCGGGAGGCCAGGCCGACGGGGGAGGGCCAGGCCNCAGGGTTTTTTTCCAGCTATCAGAAAATGAGCTTTTTCTTCTCTTTCTCTCAGTTTTCTTTCATTTTCTTGTTCATTCGTGAATATCCTTGCCATGGGATTGTGTGAACGAAGGACGAAAAAGGGTAATAATTCGGTGAAATTTCGTCTGCTTGCTCCGTGGAAAACAAAATGGCGGGCGATGACACTCTGCGATCCCAATTCAGATATTTTTATTCATTTATTTATCTAGATTTCTATTTATTTATATTCTTCGTCGATTTATTTGATCTATTTTGATTTTCTTTTTCTTTTCTTTTTTGACTTGGCAAATCTAAAAGGAAAACGTGCATTAGCTTTCAATGACACGTTTTCTGTTACAGAGTTTTAAAAAATCAAAGAAAACGGGTAATAGCCTTCAATGACTCGTTTTCTATGTTACAGATTTAGAAAAATAAAAGAAAACGGGTAATAGCCTTCAATGACCCGTTTTCTATGTTACAGTTTGATTTTTCTAACTGCAACATAGAAAACGAGTAATTGAAGGCTAATGCCCGTTTTCTTTGATTTTTCTAAGAAAACGGGCATCAGCCTTCAATGACCCGTTTTCTATGACAGGACCTGGGAAGCGGAGGAGGAGGAGGTGTCTGCGGCGGCGACAGCTTGTCTTTCTTGTCACTCTTGCTTGAACTTACATCCTGCAGAGCACATGTAGGTATATAGCTTGTATATGTGTATCTATGTGTGTGTGTATCTGTGTATCTGTGTATGTGTGTGATAGAGAGAGTGAGAGACTAAGAAAGAGAATGAGCGAGTAAATGAGATAAGGAGTGAGAGTGTGTGTGTGTGTGAGTGTGTGTGTGTGAGAGAGAGAGAGTGTGAGTGTGTGTGTGTGTTTGTGCGCGCGCGTGCGCGTGCGTGTGAGTGTGAGAGTGTGTGTGTGTGAGGTGCGTGTGCGTGTGCGTGTGAGTGTGAGAGAGAGAGTGTGAGTGTGAGTGTGAGTATGAGTATGAGTGTGAGTATGTGTGTGTGTGTGAGTATGAGTATGAGTGTGTGTGTGAGTGAGAGTGAGTGAGTGTGTATGTGTGTATGTATGTGTGTGTATACTATCTACGGCTTTCACCTCCACTTCATATTTCTTTGAGGATAAAAACACTCTCGCTTTGTACCTGAAACTTTATTTACTGTATTTTGTACAACACTTAATTCATACTTCGTAACATTTTTATCGTTATTTTTTTTTAGATTATATATGAAAGAACGTAAATAAGTTATACATATAAAATAGTAATAAGGAGAAGGGGAGAAATGCAAGTATTTGAACAAATGCCAAAAGTTTCATAGTGTGTGGATAAAACTATGTACATCCTGGAGGTACACACAGCAATACAGTCATGGCATCTGTGGTGAGCACTGTAGTTATGTAAACATTTTAATATACATTCGAGACACTAACGCTAAATAATAATAATAATGATGATGAAAATGATGATTATAATATTAATATTAATAATAATAATGAAAATAATAATAATAATAATAATGAAAATAATAATAATAAGAATTATGAGTAATAATAATGAGAATAAAAATAATAATAGTAATAATAAATAACAACAACAACAAGAATAATGGTGGTGGTAATAATAAATAATTAATAATTAATAATAATAATAATAATAATAATGAAAATAATAATGGTAATAATAATAATAATAGACGAAAAAAAGTAAAAAAACATATATGGACAAAATAAATAACTTCAGATCCCCTATTCTAATTAATCAAATGAAATATGACAAGACTAATAATCAAATCACAAAAAAAGTCATAAATAATAGTGAAAAATAGCTACAAACAATGATGAAAAATATTTACAAATATTAATGATAAATAGCATAAAATAATAACGAAAAAAATAGTCACGAATATCAATGACAAACAGTTACAAATATTAATTAAAAAATAACGTAAAATGATAGCGAAAACTAGACACAAATAACGGTGAATTTTTATCTCTTTCAAGCTTATCAAGTTCGCTCGATTTCTCAAATAAGAAATAACGAGAAACTCCGATTTTCTTTTCCATTGCAGTTCTTATTTGTATTTTCTTTTACGAAAGATAAATGGATAAATTAATCTTTACAAACACATCGGTATAGAATAACAATGGTGCTAATATACCCTAAGGTAATAAACATAACCATATTTGTTCAATAATAATAATGATACAAATTACAATTATAAACATCATAATGAAAACAACAGTAATACCATCAATAATAATAATCATAAAAAAGTAGTAATAATAATAATAATAATAATAATAACAATAATATAGATGATAATATAGATGATAATAATACAGATACTAATAATATAGATAATAATAATATAGATAATAAAAACACCAGTTATAACAAGTTGTAATAATAATAATAGAATATAGTAAGAGTAAAATCATTTTTCCCAATATACCCTATACTTTGTTTTGTTTAACTGTTTCGAAAACCACTTTTGGCTTCATTTAGTGTCCGAACTCCACCATTCTTCAGCAAAGTTACCAAATGCATATCTATATTTACAGTTCTAGCTACTGTCGTATTGCATCTAGTTCATGAATTTTGTTATATATATTATATATATATATATATGCACGAACCCACTCTTAATATTACAGTCTGCTCGTTTCGCTTTTTAGCTAAGACAATTCTCTCTCTATAAATCCTTGACCCCGCCTTCTCTCGCTCTCTCGCTCATTCTTTCGTTTTCTCTCTTCTTCCTCTGTTTCTTCTGCTCTCTGAACACGCAGCCTCAAGTCTCTCGCCCTCGCATCTCTCTCTCGCTCTTATTTACTCTCTGGCTCTCATTTTCTCGCTCTCTCTCTCTCAATCATCCATTTTCTCACTCTCGTTCTTTCGCCCTCACGGCCTCGCTTTCTTTCTCCCACACTCATTTTCTCACAATCTCGCTCTTTGTCGTTCTCTCAACCCTAATCCTTTTCTCTCTCTATCGCACGCCCATCCACCCACCCACCCACCCACTCTCCCTTCCTCATATTCCAATCACAACGAGAAACGAAAAAGAAAAAAAAAAAAATATATATATATATATTCAATGCAGACCGACTAGGGCTGAGCTAACCATCGTATAACTTCGTATAATGTATGCTATACGAAGTTATTACGATATTATATGTATATTCAATGCAGACCGACTAGGGCTGAGCTAACCACACTCGCAAAAAAATTTCGGGAGCTAGACATATATTCTCTATTTACAATGTCGTACAAACACCCATATCGGCGGGAAAAAACACCTTTATTTATGAAAAAATAGAAATTGGAAAAAAAACTGAAAATTTTATATTTCTTTGTTTTAAAGAGAAGACTAAATTTACAATATCAATATTCATATTTACACCACGAAACCGTTCCTTGTAAGGCACTGGGAGATACCCTTTCAATAATTAATTATATATGTATATATATACGATTTTGATCCAAGTATTTTTGAGCTTCTTGAAGGAAAATAATGTCTTGTATATTTCCTCTGCGTGTGGATGGATCGCCTGTGCTTTTGTATTGTTTTTGTTTCTCTTTTTTTTAAGCTTGTTTGTACTTAGTCCCGACCCGTCTCTTGCCGGGATTGCTGTCACTGTCACAAGGCACTTTTGGGCGACACTTTTCAGAAAAAAATTAGCTTCAAACACAGAAATGAAACGCGTTTCCGACCTCCACTCTCTTCAGGAATTGTTTCAATTATTGGCATTTTCTTTCATTGTTTTACTGTGTGCCGTCTGCACTTGCACTCGGGGCTATTGCACCTTCAGTCAACATATTTCCTTCGGTCAGTTTATTCACTGGAGTCATCGCCTTCACCTTCAGTCAATATATTCACCTTTTTCATCATCTCTCCATTAACATATTCCCTTCGGTCAGTACTTTATATTCACGTCACTAGGTTGAGACGCAGCGGCGAGGGGGAGCACCCCAGGGCCTCCCTCCGGGGCGCTGACGGAGGCCGGCCCTCAGCTGCTGGGCGGCGCCTGGACGTCGGCGGCGTTAGAGGTATTCGCTGACGAAGATCTTCTTGAAGTCGGGCTGCGGCGGCGGCGGCGGCGGCGGCGCGGCGGGGTCTGCGGCGCCGTAGGGCACGGCCTTCTTGGCGGAGGCGCGGTCCAGCACGCGGAACAGCTCCTCCACCGACAGGCCCGACGGGTCCTGGATGGTGATGATGCCGTTCCTGCGCCGCGCCTTGTCCATGATGGCCACCTGCATGCCGGCGCCCACGCCCGCGCTGCTGCTCACGGCCAGGGGCGGCGCGGGCGGGCGGCGGGCGCGCTGCTGCATGCCCTTGGCGCGCTGGATCTTGTGCTGCAGCTTGACGCGGCTTCCGCCCGCCTCGGGCGCGCGCCGCTTCTGGTAGCCCTCGTGCAGCGCGCCCTCGCTCCTGCCCTCGCCCACGCCCGCAGGCCCCACGCCCGCCGCCAGCGACAGGTCGCCCTCGGAGCGCGAGATCTCGACGGAGTAGTGCAGGCTGGCGCCCTCCGCCTCGTCCTCCGCCAGGTACAGGCGGTACAGGCTCAGCATGGACTCGCTCTTGACGGGCAGGATGAACATCATCTCCTCCTCCTTGTCGTCCAGGCGGTCCAGGTCGTTCATGGACAGCGACGACGACCGGTGCTTGCGCGACAGCGTGCCGTCGTCGCGCCCGTCGCCCGCCGCCGCCGCCGCCCGCAGCCCCAGCGGCTCCAGGGCGCCGCGCTCCGCGAACCGCGCCTTGCGCTTCTTCTCGAGCGTGTCGCACTCGTAGCCCGTGTTGTAGAAGCCCACGTCGTCGCGGTCGCGCCGCTCGTCCTCGTCCTCGTCGTCGTCGTCGTCGTCGTCGCTCTGGCGGCGATCGTCCGCCTTGGCGAGGTCGAGGCGCTCGCCGCGGTCGCTGCTCTCGACGGTGGCCGTGACTGCGAGCTGGCGGAGCGGAAGGACGACGACGCCGCCAGCGAGGGCGGACGAGGCGCTGCGGAGGAGAGGCCGTAGGCGTCGTCGGCCTCGTCGCGCAGGGCCTCCGGGCGGGAGCTGCGCGGGGGGGCGGCCCGCCAGCGCCAGGTTGCAGGCGCTGGCGAGGCCGCGGGTCGCGGGCGCGGAGGAGTGGGCGGGCGCGGGCGGCGTGGCGGCGCGCGGGTCGTGGAACTCGAAGTCGTCGTTGGCGACCGTGGTGACGGACGAGCAGCGCTGGTCGTCGCCCAGGAAGCCTCGCTCTCAGCGACGACATGGAGCGAGGTCTCGGAGAGCGTGGCGTAGATGTGGTCCTCCTTCAGGGAGCTGCCCACGCTGCCCACCTGCGGGAAGGGGGGGGGGGTTAGAGGACTCGCGGGGAATCAGGAGACAGAAAGGGAGGCAAAGAGAGAGACAGGAGACAAAAGGCACTAAATGAGGGCCGAAGGTACCATCTGTGAGCCTGGACTGGAAGGCCGGCGCCAGGGGGACACTATTTCCAATCTCAGGACCCTATCTCAGCCGCAAGGCGTGGTACAGAAATACTGAATGATGTGAGGATATCTTTGAAATGACACAAATAACAAGTTACTTATTGTTCCTGCTGTTGCACTGAGTTGCAGACAATGACACAGTATATCAAATTACAAATATAGACCTTGGAACATGGAAAAAAGCGAGAGAGATATAAGAACATTGCAAAGCGGAGGCGAGCTGCCTGGCGCCGCAGCCAATCAGACCCGATCTGGATTCCGGGGATGGGTCCTCCGAAAAATAGTTTCCGAAGTGTCTCTGAATATAAGCGTCGGAGGCACAGGAGAAGAGATAAGAGGAGGGACAAGAGAAGGGACAAGAGGCGCAGGAAAGGGACAAGAGGAGGCACAGGAGAAGGGACGAGAGGCATAGGAAGAGGCACAGGAAAGGGACGAGAGGAGGCACAGGAGAAAGGACAAGAGGCATAGGAAAAGGCACAGGAAAGGGACGAGAGGAGGGACAAGAGCAGGCACAGGAGGCCCAGCGGCGAGGCACGCACCTTGGTGAGGGGGTCCGAATAGATGGGGTCCTGGCTGCTGGTGGCGGCGGACCCCAGGGACTCCGTGGCTTCCCTGGGGTAGAAGGGGGGTCCGTAGGGGTCCCTCACCCGCGGCGGGGGTCCGGCGGCCACCAGACCCCGGATTTCCTGCGAGGACACGCCCATCTTCATGCCAGCTCCGCCCCCTGGGGAGAGAAGGAAAGGGTTATGCAGCGGCGGATACGAAGGCAGATTCGTGGCCGCAAAAACTCATACACACGTATTGTTTTTAACGTCACTTTTACTCGTTATTTATATCATTCCTACGCAGAACTCGGAACTATTTTATTTCTATATTTACATCACTGTTTAAACCACAATACAAACCGTATCTTAATTCTTTCTAACGTCACTTTAACAAAGAACCCAAACGTTCTTTACCTTTTTGCTACGTCGCTTAAATCCAGAACCCAAACGTTTTTTTTTTTTTTTTTTTTTTTTTTATCTTTCCTTACGTTACTAATCTAGAACCCAAACCGTATCTTAATTCTTTCTTAACGTCACTAATCCAAAACCCAAACGGTTTTTTTTTTTATCTTTCCTTACGTCACTAATCCAAAACCCAAACGTTTTTTCTTTCTTCTTTCCTTTCCTTACGTCACTAATCCAAAACCCAAACGTTTTTAATCTTTTCTTACACCTCAACCTATACCCCAAACGTTTTTTCTTTTTCTTTTGCCACGTCACTTTAACCCAGAACCCCAACCCCCCGAAAAAAAACGTTTCCAAAGAAAAACGTTTCAAAAAAAAAAAAGAAAAAAACGTCCTTACCTCTCCTGTAGGACGGCAGGATCTGGGCGGGGTTGTCGACACTCATGTTGAGGAGCGACGAGAACAGGGACCCGTTGGTGAGGGGGAAGGACTTGACCTCGTCCTTCGGGAACAGGCGGAAGGGCCCGTCGCCGTCTGCGGGAGGAGGGAGAGGGGGGGGGGATTAAGTGGTGGAGATTCGTGTG